GTGGCCACTCTCCTGACTGAGCAAGCTCATGAAGAACACGAGATACATCAGAGGTTGTGTTCTTTAAAGAATCTGCTATTTGGTTAATGAGTGAAGCCTCCAGGGCTATCTGATCAGAGAGCAGCTTCATGTGCTCTTGCTCACTCAGCACTGACTGGCCGGGTTGCTGTGTGAGGGCTGCCATTTTACCCTCCACAGAATGCCCTTTCTCCTGCCCAGCCTCGACTCCGCTTTCTGCAAGGGCTGCCCAGGGTTGCAAGGCTTCAATGGCACTCAGGAGTGCATTCTCTACATTGGCCAGGGAGGCTGCACGTGTGTCCTGTTCATCCTCCTGGTCGGCCTTTGGCAGAGACTTCAACTGTTCTCGGCAGTTTTCTAAGCATGACAGGGCATGGCTGTTCTTTGCTTGGAAGTCTCCCAACTCCCCAACGTGGTTCTCAATGCTTGTGGCCCTCTCCTGCCTCTCCTGCTCCAGCTGGGAGGCCAGTGCACCCACCTGCAGCAAGCTGGTACGGAGCTGCTCACGGAGCTGTGCCTCAGTGCCAGCCCACTGGTGGTGCAATGCAAGCAGCGCCTCGTGGCTCTGGCCCTGCTGGCTCTCTAGTCTCACAGTCACATCCTTGAGTTTCTCCTCCGTGACATAGAGCTTGGTCTCCAGGGAGTGGATTATGGAGAGGTATGTCTCGGAGTCTCCTGTTGTGGGCAGTGTACTGGGGGTGGCCTCTGAGGACATGCTCTCCTCCGAGGGGGACCGGTCCTGGCTGGTGTCTGATGATGTGCTGCTGGTCCAGGTCTTCTCAGATCCCTCAGGGTGGATGTATTTTTGGCACTGGATGGTGGAGAACCGTATTCTTTGCCTTTTAACACCAGATGCTCCCTGGTCAGGCTTGGCTGTGCTCTGTGGATGTCCTTCTCTATCAGGCACTTCCACAGACTTGGAGGACACGGCATGCTCTTCTCTGTCAGGGCTGCCATTGCCACTCTCCTCTCCCAGACCAGTGCTAGGGTCCTCATTCTCCAGCTTAATGTGGGGAAAGCCTAGAGGTGCTCCAGCAGCTGGGAGTTGTTGATCCAAGAGCAGAACACCATCCTCCTCCGTGTCCTCGGGAGTGCTCTGAGGCTCTTCCACATCCTTTGGAGAGTCACTTGTAAACTTCCGTAGAATCTTTTCCTTTGCTTGCAGCTTAATTTCTGTTTCCTCTAAGCTGCTCCCCAAGGCAACCATTTTAACCAAAGCCTCATTGAGATCCTGGTCTTTCTTTTCCAGAGCTCTCTCATGTACTTCCTTAATGTGCTTCAGCTCTTCTTCCTTCTCTCTCAGCAGAGTGCGCATGCTCTGCAGCTGGCCAGAGACTCTGCGGTGTGAGTGCTCCAGGCTCTGGTAGTCGGCCTCTCTTCCTCTCAGCTTCTCCCGGAGCTCGGCCACGTCCCCATCAGACATGGCCACACGTTCCATAAGCTCTTGGAACCTCTGCCTGATGAGGTCTCGCTCATCACGGAGGCCTTGCACATGCTGGGCAAGCTGGCGGATGCTGGCTTCCCGGGCTTCCAGCTGTTCCTCTAACTGGTGTACTTGCTCACTGCCCTCACATGTGGCACTCAGCTTCTCTTTCTGGAGGGCCTCCACCTGCTGTGCATGGCCCTGCAGCTGGTCCTCATAGGCACTGGCCTTGTCTTCAACTTCTTTCAGGTTCTGCAGCAGGGCCTGCTTTTCCTCCTCACAGCTCTCTAGCAGCAGTGTGTAGTTCCTCTGCAGCTTTTCCTCCATCAGCCGCTGGGCCTGCTCACTGGCACCTAGCTGCTGGCTGAGGTCAGCAATGCGCTCCTGTAGCCTCTGCACCTCCTTCTGCCGATCCCGCTGCAGCGCCTGCTGTGTCTCCAGGTTCCGCAACTCCTGAGTCTTCTCTAGCAGTAGGGCCTCAGCACTCTTGAGTTTCTGTTCACTGGCCTTCAGCTGGCCGCTCAGGGCAGCCTCACTGTGTTGCCGCTCTTCCAGCTGCTCGCGGACTCTACCTTGCTCCATCTTCAGCTCACCTTTGAGTTTGGCTAGTGCCTGCTCCTTGATGGCCAGCTCAGCAGCAGCATTGCTGAGCCTCGCTTGCAGGCTCCGGATCTCGGCCTCATGGTGCCGGATCGCATCCTTGGCCTCCCCATAGCTACGTTTCAGGGTCTGAATCTGCTGTGTGATCAACTCCTGCCGCTGGCACTGGGCTTCCAGCTCACTTTGGAGGTCTTGGTTGACTCTATGGAGCCTCTGCCAGGCACCGGACGGGGAGGTGGCCACTTCAGTCTTAAAAAAATCGATTAAATACTAGTTAGTAACACTCGGGCCTCCCCGTTCTGAGTGTCACACCTCTGGCCAGGATCAACCACAGAAAAGCTTCTTGGTGGGTTTGTCTTTTATCCTTTGCACAACATTTTTTTTTCCCATTAAAAAAAATCCAACACATTAGCTGCTTCCAGGTGTACAGAAAACATGGACAATAACATCAAAAAATAGCTCTAACCAGTTTCTAGGAGAAATAAACCAAACAAAACTGAGTAATGGAACACACTGAGAAGCAAAACGGAGACGGAAGGGCTATAGAAGACGACGGGGAGTGGGACGAGGCAGCACAGCATCTGCATCTGTTTATTTTGCAAAACAACAAGTATGGAGGTCTAGACCACAAATCTAAGTAAGTGCAAGGGGCAGGTAAGTGATGTCACTTCCTTCCAGCAGAGGGTAGGAAGGAAGGCAAGGAGCTGCTCAGAAAATGTCAGGGAGTGACATTCCGGAACGGTTTCCTTTGGAAAGCGTAGCCAGGCCTCCATGGTAATGGGAAGAACTAATTTCTACCTGCAAGAAGACAGAATGAGGGGGAACGAAAACTAAGGGGCAATATATGATAAGTATCAAAATAAACCTTTGTGGAGTTCAAAATAAGAGAGTGAAGCATGCAAAAAACAAAACACAAATAAAACTCCCAAACATGTGGAAGAGACAGAATATAACATAGGAGAAAAACAACATGAAGAAGACTGAGTAGAGCCCCACCTACAATCTAGCCTGCCTAGGTTCCCCTTGGTCTGCTGATGGGGATACCACAGATGTGACACTCAGTTAAGTTCTAGTTTGATGCCAAAGCATGCAGGCCCCTCCCAGCAGTTAGCACAGCACCTCCCACCCCACCCCTCAACAGTCATACTTGTCAGCCTCAGCCCCAAAGTCCCTGCCCTTTCTAACTTGACTACAAACATTTCCAAAGTTTGGGAAGGAGGGGCAGTCACTGGTTATTTGAGTGTGAAAGAGCAGTGTGGCTCAGTGGTGATCAACAGGGCCTTCAGTGTAGGCACATGAAGGGGATCCATGTTAAGACACATAGGCAAGTTCCCAGGTTAGCAATGTGCAAAGCCATCCACAGTGTCTTTACCATCTGATCTGCATCCAGTTCTGTAGGATGGGGCCCCAACCAAGAACAAAACTCTGTCACAAACAGGGAGGCATATATGAATGACCAAAGGCCCTCACTGAAGGACAAGGAGGAGGGGCCATCTGTCACGGCCAGTTCTTTTTTTTTTGTTTTTGGTCGGTCGTGGGGCTTGAACTCTGGGCCTGGACGCTGTCCCTGAGCTCTTCAGCTCAAGGCGCGCGCTCTACCACTTGAGCTACAGCGCCACTTCCGGTTTTCTGGTGGTTTATTGGAGATAGGAGTCTCACGGTCTCTCCTGCCTGGGCTGGCTTTGAACCACGATCCTCAGATCTCAGCCTCCTGAGTAGCTAGGATTATAGGCGTGAGCCACCAGCGCCCGGCACGGCCAGTTCTTGAGCTAAGAGTCTAAACTGGGCAAAGCAACAACTTTGCTGCAAGGGAAGAAGTACAGATACATGAGAAGAAGAAGAGAGAGGCCAAGTGCTTGTGCAGCAGAGGAGACAGTGGGTGGGTGGGTGGGTGGGTGGGGAGGCAGGAAGATAGGCTCCAATCAGAAGGCATCCAAGCCTCCGTGATCTTTTTCCTGCCAGGGATGACGAAGCTTAAGTAAGTCACTCAACAGTGTTGAAAACTCACCACAGACACTCTGGGTCTTTGATAGTCTAAGGCCCTTGGGTATCACTATAGCATACTATAGCATGCACAGGCAGGAAGCTGCTGCTGAGGGAGGAGCCCTTGCTTCTGGGATCAATGGCAGGATCAAGACTTGACCCTAGGCCCTGACTTCAATTCTCCATTCTTGGCCTTTGCAAGAGTTTGATTTTAGTTCTGCTACCCCCATGCTACTGCTCCCCAGCACTTGTCCACCCTCTGCCAGCATGACAGCACCATAGGTCAGGAGTGTGAGTTTCAAACTAGCACAGGGTCTAGGGTATGGTGGGGCACTGATTCCTGCCTTGTAACACATCTACATCAGGGCTGCTAGACCCTGAGGTTGTGAGAGCAGCCAGGACTCTATGGCAGACAACTTCTGTAACAGAGGAACATTGGGCATATGCTACTGGCTGGGGCTGCCACCATTTTGCAGAAATTTTAGTCTGGTAAGAAAGTAACATGGGTCCCTAGTACAGTTTGACAGCCTAGAACTCCATAGTGTGGTAGAGACAAAGGAGGGGATGGGGCCTGAACTTGTAGTTGGTCATAAGAAAGCCCTTAGTCTGCTGGACTTGCCAACCTATACAATGGGACCAATGCTGCTATTGTGGAAACAATTAGAAATGGCATGCAGATGTTTGGTATTCATTAAAAAAAATATGCTGATAAGAGAGCCAAAAGGAGAGATCACCCAGATGATTTCATTAGAGAAAAAAAACTTTAGGTGAAGGGTTTCAGGTACATTATTCCAAATGTCACAGTAGGAGGGACATGAACACAGAGCACTCCTCACATTGAGAGCCCTGGTCCTTGGAGGAGAGGAGCTAAGGCCATTCCACCAGCTTTGCACATTCCTAACCTATAGGCCTGAGTAAGACCTTTCACACTGAAGCCCCTGGGTGTACTGCAGACCTGGCAACCACTCTGCCCTACCTGCAACACATAGCCCTCCCGGGCTGTCTGCTCTCGACCCAGGGCCACCCTCAGCTGGTCTTGCAGGAGTCGGTTCTGCTCCAGAAGGTCCGAAGCCTCCTTCTGACTCTGCTCCAGCTGTTGGTAGAAAGATACATGATCTTAAACATGATGACAAGCAAACGAAAGTAGCCAGATAACTGGCTTTGCTCCATAGAAGCCTTCCAGTTACAGGCAGTAGTCTAGGATTCTGGGCCTCCACATCTATGGCATTTGGAACTGAAAATTCCAGCTCAAGCTGTATATGAGACTAGCATCTTTGCTACCTTCTAGGGTGTGGGAGACAGGCTGTGATTCTCTGCCTCAGAGTACCCTTTGGCACTCACATGGCTTCTTCTGTACATGTTCACAAATGTACCATGCAAGTCTTAAGACTCATTTGGAAAGTGCATTTCTGAGGAGGCAGCGCCTCACTGAGAAGTGAGGGTTTTGAATCTTTGTGAGAAGGAAGATCATACTATGGGGCACTCCAGTCGTCCTTCACATGGTCATGTAGGTCATGGCTACTATAGTCAGTAGAGTCCCAAGCAGGCCCCATTTCAGGTCCTGCTAAGGCTTCAAGTGAAACTCCCATGTAAGGTTCTGCTTGCAAAAAGCTTTCCTGCCCTCAAACAAGATATGGAAACATGTGAATAAGCTCTTTACATTTTTGCTTTCAAATTCGTTCATTCACCCATTCCAGCAAAAAGCTGGAAGTGGAGCTATGGTTCAAGTGGTTAAGTGTTAGCCTTGAGCAAAAAGAGCCAGGCAAGAGCATAAGGACCTGATTTCAAATGCCAGTACCACCACAAAAATCAAAGTAGAAAAGTCAAAGTGATAATGTTAGTGATAACTATCAGCCTCAAAGATTTAATAAAATGGAAAAGTGATGAGAAATGTCAGTGCTAAGATAGCAGAAAATGTATAGGAAACTTAGAAGGCTACACAGGTTAAGTATCCCTTATCCAAAATGCTTCAGACTTGAGGTAGATATGTAGCTAAAGTAAGTGTCTGCCTAGTAAGAGCAAAGCCCCTCAGTTCAAGCCCCATTGCTGTCAAAATAATAACAACAATAACAATAATAATTTTTAAAAAGGACAAGCTGGGAACTCTGGTTCTTACCTGTAATCCTACCTATTAAGGAGGCTGAGATCTGACAATCATGGTTAGAAGCCAGCCTGGGCAGAAAAGTCATAGCAACTCCATTTCTAATTAACCAGAAAAATCCCAGACTACAATGTGGCTCAAGTTGAGTTCTAACTGTGAGTGAAAAAGCTGAGCAAAAGCATAGGCCAGGTGTCCATGGCTGGTGCCTATGATCCTACCTTCTCAAGAGGCTAAGATCATGGTTTGAAGCCGGCATGGGCAAGAAAGTCTTTAAAATTCTTTTTTTTGCTAGTTCTAGGGATTGGACTCAGGGCTTGGGCACTGTCCCAGAGCTTCTTTTGCTCAAGGCTAGCACTCTACCACTTGAGCCACAGCACAATTTCCGGCTTTTTCTGTTTATGTGGTATTGAGGAACTGAACCTGGGCTTCATGCAAGCTAGGTAAGCACTCTACCACTAAGCCATACTCCCAGCCCAAGTCCTTGAAATTCTTATCTCCAACTAACCACAAAAAACAGGAAGTAGAGCTGTGGCTCAAGTGGTGGAGCACTAGACTTGAACACAAAAGCTCAGGGATATGGGCTGGGAAGGTGGCTCAGTGGTAGAGCACTTGCCTTTCATGCATGAGGCACTGGGTTTGATTCCTCAGCACCACATAAGCAAAAAGAAAAAAGCCAGAACTGGCGCTGTGGCTCAAGTGGTAGAGCGCTAGCCTTGAGCTGAAGGACAGCGCCCAGGCCCAGAGTTCAGGCCCCACGGCCGGACCCAAAAAGAAAAAGAAAAAAAAAAAGCTCAGGGATAATACCCAGGGTCCTGAGTTTAAGCCATAGGACTGGCATTTAAAATATAAGGTCCTGAATTCAAGCCTCAGTACTAGCATGAACACACACACACACACACACACACAGAGATATAATACCTGAGACCTTTAGTACTTCAGACATTTTTCTTATACAATCTGGAATAATCATATATAGAAAGAGCAACTGTACTAGTGTCCAAGTTTAAACATGAAATTCACTTATGTTTTATTTTTATCTTACATATGCAGTCTGAAGGTAACTTTATATAGAAATTTTCGTTTTGGCAGTGTTGGGGATCAAATCCTATATATGCTAGGCAGGTGCACTTAACAGTAAAAGCTCCCATATTGTATTTTAAATAATTTTCTGTGTAAAGCAGTTTCAAGGGGTGTTTGTGGTATCATGTTGATGCTCACAAGATTTTGGATTGAACTAAGGATGCTCACCCTGTATCCTCCTTGGCCACAGAATTGACCAAACCCAAGCACATTTGTGATCCCAGGATTCCCTTTCTGGAGAAAACACCATATGCCAGGAATTCAGGGGCTGGATCCTGCAGCTCTGCACATGTCCTGGAAGGGCCTGCATCTATCTAACTCTTGCCCTGCCCTGGCTCACCACAGCCTGTTTTCATATCCTCAGTATCTGGGGGCCCAGCCTTTGTCTCCCATGCCTGCACCTTGTCCCTTTCAAGTCTGATTGACTGTCGCTTGGCCACTGTCAAAGCAAGTGGCTTGTATCTGCTTCTAACTTTGGCCTGCTCCCCTCACTTGTGCAGATCAAAACCTAACTCCACTCATACCCCTCCACTGAAAATCTTTAGCTTGCACCATCTGACAGGTGGAAAGGGCCCACTATGGGCCTTGTTCACAGTGCAAACCACCATACTGGGAACTCCTCCACTCTTCTGGAAAGGTGCACTAGCCCTCTTCACCAGGAGTCTCTCAGTTTCCACCTCAAGTGTAAGAACTTGCCCTTGTTCCTGTTTCCTCTTGCAGGTCTATGAGGGAAAGACTTTGTGGCTGGACTCACAAGCCACAGCTGGGCAGAGCTGGAACTCAGCATAGACTGCTGCAGGGAAGGAACTGCCCTGCATTACCTCCTTTTCCAGCAGAGAAGTAAGCTCATGTGTGGAGAGTCGGTCACTTCCATCCTCTGAGGACAGGTGCAAGGGGGCAATGGGCACCTGCTTTTCTTCCCGTAGAGGAGTAGTCTCCACTTGATGCCATCGCTGCTCTATCTCCACATGAACATTTTGTGTCTTGAGATCAGTTCCTGGAAGCCCTGGGCTCCGGTCAACGTCCATGCGTAGAGCTATGTCCTCAGCGCTGGGTCCATCTACTGTGTCCAGCACCCCAAAGCGCTTGCGGCGCTCTTCCCGTCGCCTAGCACGTTCCCGCTCCAACTCTCCAGATTCTGCTTCAGGATGACCAGGGTCACGGGAATCAGAGGGCCTTGTGGCACTGGCCCTCTCTTGTGCCAAAGCCTGCTGGATGGGGCGGAACTCAGCCCAGTCAAAGGTCTTAGAGCGGCCCTCCCGCCTTCGCTCTCGAGCACGGCTTCTCTTCTGTTCGGGATCGAGCTGTCCAGGGTCTACCTCTTGCTTCTCATGTGGCCTGGAAAAGGTCTCAAAAGATGAGCTGCTTTTGTTCTTTTCCTCTGGTAATGAGCTAAGGGCAGGGGAGGCAAACATAGTACTTGTTAGGGGACCTGAGACACCCTGGCCCATCACAGGGCCAGCTAAAGCAAGCCATAGCTGACCCAGATAGCTCCATGGCCTTCTTCTGTTCTCAAAGTGGCTTCCAAGAACAGAGAGAAGGAATGTGCCAGCAACTGGTTCTGATGGAGTAAGGAGGAAGAACTTCATATGTTCCCTAGGTTTCTAGTGCATATCCCTTTAGAAGATCCTGTGTGGGGAGTTTTGGGGTTCTGTCACCAAGATGATAGGAACAAGGAAGACAGGGCTTCCACGGGATCCACAGGCAGGAAGGACCCACGCAAATGGTATGGCAGATTCTGAAGCAACCCATGCTACACAGTGGTGAAAGAACTGGTCATCTCTTTAAAGGGCAAATGATCAGCTAATTTAAAAACCCACTCAGTCCATTCACATAACATGTGGGTCAATGTGAATGCTGAGATATGCTGTGGATAAAAAGGACAGGTAGTTTGTTTAGCCATAGCCCACACCACAGGGAAGAAGGCAGTGGCTCCCTCCTGACAAGGGAGATGGCCATGCCAGGCTGCATAAGTTGTGCAGGAGATGCTCAGCCTATCCAGCATTAGTAGAAGGGCAGAAGATGATCAGCTAGAATTCCTTCCTTTTCTAATCTGGTCTAAAGAAAGATTCCTGAGAACACCACTTCTCTACCAGAGGAAGAGCAGAGAGAGCAATGGCAACACAGCAAGAGGCTGGAAGTGGGTTCACTGGTAGCAGAGCCCAGTGACCACTGGCTAGCCCACCCAAGGCTAAAATAACAGTCCCTAATCCTGTCCAAGCCTTAGCAGAGTTCAAAGTGACCTTGGCCAGTGAAGGCTCAAGACAAGAAGGCTAAGGGGCACCTGTGTATACATCATGGCCAAAGAAAAAGGGGTTTATATTGCCTTCAGGGGTCATCAAAGTGCTTCAGAGCAGTAGGGTGGATGAGTCCAGTCTAACCAATGAATAAAAATGACCTAATGCTGGGCACCAGAGGCTCACAACTCTAATCCTAGCTAGTCAGAAGGCTGAGATGTGAGGATCAGATCTCAGTTTGAAGCCAGAATGAGCAGACAAATTTGAGACTCCAAATAGCCAGCAAAAAAGTAGTAGTAGCCATGAGCAAAAAAGGCAAGAGAATGAGGTCCTGAGTTCAAATATTAGTGATACTTGTGTGTGTGCACATGTACACACATGCATGCAAGGATGCACTCACACACACACACACACACACACACACACACACACACACACACACACACACACAGCTGGGAGTCATGGTGCAAATTATAATCCTAGCACTTGAGAGGGTGAAAAAGCAGGATCAGAGTTCAAAGCCAGCCTAGGTTACATAGTAATTCCGTCTCAAACACAACAAAATAAAATAAAGAGCCTTCTCAGAAAGGAAGGCTCTTTCATCATCATGAACTGAGACAGCAGGCTTAAGTTCAGATCTGTGTGGAGCATTGGGAAAGCATACAGGCGCAAGCAGAGTACAGCAACCTTGAGCTAGGATTCCAACAGGTATGTTTTCAGAGAAGGCTCCTCTATCCCTGAAAGCTGGTAGCGCTCTGCCACAGAATACAGGACAGTGATGAGAAGCACACGCCAATAGCTCTAACACTGTCATTCATACTTATAGTATCTTCTCAGTTTGCTGGGTACTGGTGGTTCACACCTGTAATCCTAGCTACTCAGGAGGCTGAGATCTGAGGATTGCAGTTCAAAGCCAGCCCAGTCAGTAAAGTCCGTGAGACACTTATCTCCAATAAACCACCAGAAAAACTGGAAGTGGCATTGTGGCTCAAGTGGTAGAGTGCTTGCCTTGAGGTAAAGAGCTGAGGGACAGCACCCAGGCCCAGAGTTCAAGCTCCACAACCAACAACAACAACAAAAAAGTTTCTTCTCAGTGTCTCGTGGTGAAGCAGTAAATAATTCAAGATTTTCTTCAACTCACAAGAGTCAACAGAACACAGGATAAAAAAAACCTTTTGGCTTCAAGATAACACTAGATTATGAAGTAGATAATAGCTTGCCCACTTTGGTATGAAAGGAAGCACACACCTAACCTCTGGGTTCATCCTTTGGGTCTCCAATCCTTCTTGGAACTGAAGGGCTATACATCATACATGTGAAAGGCTGCTCTCTGAAGCCACATGCAAATGTACAGCATGCATGAGAATGGGGTATTGGTTTTGTTTTTCTTTTTGGGGGGAGGGGTGGGGATAATAGTGTGATTTAAGCCACACTTATGTAACCTTATGCTTGCCTGCCTGCCTTCCTTTCTTTTCTTTCCTTCCTTCTCTCCCTCCTTCCTTCCTTCCTTTCTTTTTTGACTAGGATCTTGCTTTCTGGCTTGAGATCCTATCTATACTGCCCATGTAACTGGGATGACAGGATTGTGTGCCACTGTGCTCAGTTTTAGTTTTTTGTTTTTTTTTTTAATTAGCTGAGATGGGATTTTGTAAACTTTTTTGCCTGAGCTAGCCTCAACTAGATCTTCTGTATCTCTGCCTCCTGAATAGCTAGGATTACAGGTTAGTTATTATGTTGGCATGTGTTTTTGATACCAACTTCTCCCAGACATAACCCTCACCTTGCACATGCAGCCTAGGCATGGCAAAGATGTGGTAGCTTCATCTACTGCTGCTGCCTGAGCAAGGCAGGCCAAGTGCCTTTATCATTTTGCTCTAGGTACTCTTGCAGGTGCTGGGAGGGTACCATGTACCAGGCTTTGCTCCCAACTGGGCTAGCTATGGAGGTAAGGAGCTGCCACTCACCAACCAGCTCTAACAGTTCCTGAGAGACAACTGAGGGCAACTCTTCAGGTCTCAAACTACTGGTCTGTGACATGGGAACAGCTAGATACTGTTTGCTAACAAATGAAGTAATGGATACATGAGATACACAGGAAAGGAGGCTGACAGCAGGCATGGCTATGGCTGCCACAGGCTAGCACCTTCGTGATAGAAACACTTGTCAGCAAAGTACACTAACCAGGCTGAGAAAGAAATAGGGACTCCAGATGCATGAGGCTCTGAGGACTAGGAGGGTACAGCTGAGCTCAACACCATAGCCAGCCCCACACAGCACAGCCATCTCTACTTCTTCATGAAAACTGGCAGGTGCTTCACCTTCAGAACAAGAGGATGACATATGTCCCAAGGGGTATGAACAGGAGGTTAAGCCAGGACAGAACATACTTTTCCAACTTGGGTTTCAGCATTGAGTCTCAGAGAAGCTTTTCCTGGTTACACAGTAATCAGATGGCTAAGTGTTGGTAGCTCATGCCTGTAATCCTAGCTTTTCAAGCAGGTGAGTTCCAGGGATCATGATTCAAAGCCAGCTAAAGTAGTAAATTCCATGAGTCTCTTACTGCTAATTAACCAGCAAAAAGTTGGAAAAGCTGTGGTTCAAGAGGTAGAGTACCAATCTTGGGAGAAAAAGCTAAGGGACAGTGCCCAAGCCCTGTAGTCAAATCCCAGTACCAACATATGTGTGCATGCATGTACACAAGCACGCACGCACACACACAGATGGAGGAATGAAGAAAAAATGAAGAGCAAAGCTATAGTGGCCTGTCATCACCATCCTTTTGGAACTGCCATGATCCAGCCAGAGCACAGCTACCAGAGAGGGTCTACAGTGAAATCTGAAGTCAGGCCTGGGTGGCTGAATACTCAGACAGGATGATTTTGGTTTGTTTTGGTGGTTACAGGTTTATTTTTTTTATTTTTATTTTTTTTGTGGGTTGTGGGCTTGAACTCTGGGCGCTGTCCCTCAGCTCTTCAGCTCAAGGTGAGCCACAGCGCCACTTCCAGTTTTCTGGTGGTTAATTGGAGATAAGAGTTTCATGGACTTTTGTGCCTGGGCTGGCTTTGAACCATGATCCTCAGATCTCAGCCTCCTGAGTAGCTAGGATTACAGGCGTGAGCCACCGGCACCCAGCTGGTTACAGGGTTTGAACTGAGGGCCTCACACTTGCTCGGCTTGTTGGCTTGACTGGTGCTCTACCATTTGAACCACCCTTTGGTTCCTCTCACAGGATGGAAATCTGACAAGCTCAGTGCTAACAACAGGCATAAACATAATCTGTTTGACTGACCAGAGCAGCTTCTAAGAAGAGACCCCAACCCAAGGGAGAAAAACCAGAAAGCCACAAGGAGACTGAGCTGTCAGTACGACAGAGTGTAGTCAAGGGGAAGGGCAGGTGCAAAACCACAGATCCCTCATTGGGATGGCCAGGTACCTAAAGAAGGCACAAAGGACTCCCTTGGGCACCCCTGACAGTCTTACCTGGTCACATCTGGGGCTGTGGTTGGGTGTACATGCTTCATGATGGTCTGGATCCAGTTCCGCCGGATCCCTGATGTCATGGCTGACAAGGTGAACTCACCCTCCTTTGTCTACATGAAAGATACGGGTGTCATTAGTGGCCCTTGAGGGTGATGGGGGTGATATCTGCCTCCTACTTCCAAAGGGCAGACGAAATCCACAGGGAGAGAAGACCTACGTGTGCCTTGCTCAGCTATGCTCTCACAGAATCGTATATCATAGGGCACAGGCAGATGGACAAGGACAGCAAGTCTCATCTTAAAGGAACTTTCAGGGACTGGGAAGGCGGCTCAGTGGTAGAGCGCTTGCCTTGCATGCATGAGGCCCTGGATTCGATTCCTCAGCAGAAAAAGCTGGAAGTGGCGCTGTGGCTCAAGTGGTAGAGTGCTAGCCTTGAGCTGAAGAGCTGAGGGACAGCGCCCAGGCCCAGAGTTCAGGACCCATGACTAGAAAAAAATTTAAATTAAAAAAATAAATAAATAAAAGAAACTCTCAGCCTGGAGTGAAAAATGGAAATAGTATGTGGGGACAGTGGTGAAGGCAGCATATAGGGGGAGTGCACTGAGAGTCCAGGTCAGGGCCCTGCAGCCCCAATACAGGTACACAGGACAGCAAAGGGGAGAAGTGGACAAACATCAGGGGCTAATGGTAGTCTCCACCTGCTCAGGACAAAAGACTTAGGTACAACTGCTGTCACTGTCCAGATAATACAGGTCACGGAGGGAGGGACACACTGGGTGTCCCTGGATGGATAGGGGAAGGGAGGGGACCACCTTAGGTGTCAGGGGAAGCTCCTGTTAACAGTGGGGGATACTACAGCAGAATGGCACAAAGAAGCATGTGGCCTCAGAGACACAATCTGCATCCCCAGGTAGCTCTGCCCAGGCCTGCTCAGGAAGGAATGAGGCCCACATAAGTTGTCTACCTGCTTCTGCATTCAGAGGCTTATACTACAGCACTATCCTAGTATCCTATCTCAGGCTGCTCACAAACTCAGACATCATTTTATGATGAAATGACTAGGATAGCTTTGGGCCCAGCAATGGTGTGACCAGCTATTACAACTGTATTCTGGGAGGTACTGCCCTAGACTGCCTCCTTCTCCTCCTCTTCCTCCTCCCCCTTCTCCTCTACCGTGGGACAGCCACAGGCCCCACTCCTTCTTTGTGACCTTTAGCCCTTAGAGAGCACTGTGGTGTGAGTAATTCTTACCCCCTTCTCTGGGCCATCCCTCTCTACTCAAGGTGTGGGTGCTTCCCAGTCTAGACATTTGTAGCCGAGTTCTTTTCCAGCTCCAAAGATAAACATATGTATCCCATCATGTATTCTCCTAGATTCCTACTCTTGGCAAGATTTCAGGGGGTCCACCTTCTCCATTAAGCTGGATCACTGGCCAGGTCTATGTGGGCCTCATCATGCATAGGTTACCCATGGTGCAGAGACCTCTCTTATCTTTCTCTGCAGTGACACTCAGTCTCTCTACCACCACCATGCCCACTTACCAGGCCTCCTTTCTAGTTGCTCTACAAGACCTGGCAGCTACATCTTATGAACACACAACCTGCCTTGTTTGGCTGACACCTTCCAATGCTTTCCACAGCTTCAGGGCAGGATCAGCTAGCATTTGTTCATGGTACTTCCCCCACTTGCGCTCTGCACTCAGCTCCCTCCTCTGTGCCATCTCAGGACCCTCTGGACCAAACCCTTCTCTAGGAAGCAGCCCCATATTGAAATCAGTATCTTTAAACTTAGGACTCTCAAGCCCAGTAGCCCATCGCAGGGGCAAATTGGGGAAGGATCTACTGAGGGCAAAAAGGCCACCTCCACTATTAGACCTGGCTATCAGTGGGAGACAATAGATGAGTTCTCAGACTGTATAGGAGCACTGACCAGAGACACCTGCTGATTAAAATTGGCATAGAGGCAAGAATCCAAAGAACCAAGACTCACATTTTGGAGGGGTACTAAGGGCTAGCCCTGAAACCAGACCCTTGGTATATAAGCCTTGACCATTATACAGCTCCCTCACAGACACCTGCATCCATGAAGGGAATTAGTGAGGCTAACAAGAGCCTTTCCAATACAAAACACTCTGATCTTCAGAGTTACATACTGATCTCCTCTAAGTGTAGTACATCTGAGTCTGCCTCAAAGTGCTTCATCATCTCTGAATACAGTAACATAGTTGAGTTTCTAAGCCCAAAACGTTGAAGAACTTTTTGGTGATCTCACCAGAGTCATCACAGCCTCAAGTAAGAAACCAAGTCCCATAGCCTGGCCTACAGGAGCAGCTCTCTATCTGCCACAACTCTTAGGGCTCGTGTGAGGAAAGAAAGTCTGCCCTGTGCAGGAAAATGGCCAGGGCCCTGCAAGCCTGGAGTTCTGTGAGTAACCACAGTGCTACTTGGGGCCCAACTAAGACCTTACATGTAGTGTCATTGACAAGGCAACTTATGTCAGAAAGGTCCAAACACAAATCATGAATGAAATCAGTTGGCCCCTGGGGAAGGCCTAGAGAGGAAATGGTCCACAAAAGCAAGAACTTGGTAGACCATAGCAGTTAGGAAGCCTCCATGAAAACAGCACCAAGGCCCAGATGAGCTTCCTTGAAATGCTCTGCATATGCCTCACATCAAGTTCCAAGGTAACATGTCTCTAAAAACAAAGAAACTATGGGACACACACACACAATGAGTTCCTTCTTTGGAATGGTTCTGACTGAACAAAACTGGCTACAGTAAAACTAATAATAAAAACAGCAATTTCTTGACTTTTGTGAGACATTCTAGACAATTCTGGAGGGGGAAGGTTGTTTTGCAAATCCCTGCATTTACAATTATATCAGAATTTAGAGCAGATATGGCAGGTGGGAATTAAAAAAAAGCTTCTCTGGGATTTAAATAATTAGCAAATGATATAATTTTTATTCCCTATACCCTACACCCTCCCAATCAATGGCTCTAAACTCCAGTATTAAAATTACAAGACTGGGTGTGCTAGTTCACCCCTGTAGTTCCAGCAACTTGGGAGGCAGAGACTATGACTGAGGTTGAGGTTGCCCCAGGCAAAATGATTGAGATCTGAAAAATAAAGCAAAAAGGGCTGGGGGGCATGGTTCATTCAGTGGTAGAATCCCTCCTTAGCAAGTTCAAGGCCTTGAGCTCAAACCTCAGTACTGCCATTTTT